CCCGTGCGTGCGCACGCTCCACATCTTCTCACTGTGAGATATGGGGAGCGTGCGCACTCACTGGCTCCACCACTCAAGCCCACAAGCACGAGCTTACTGCAATCATCAGTGCTGTCCATCCCCCCACGAGCCGAAGACACTGCCACTGTGAGCGAGGTAACATCCATTATTTGTGTTATTTATTTACTAGTTTTCTCTGTCTACACAAAAAACTAGATCAAACCAAGCGAGATTGTAAGCGTAGTGTGTGGCACCACATGGCTCAGGAGGACTGAAGGTCAGACCTGTTCTCCACCGCGGGCACGGCCTCGTCCCATGGGCCGTTGATCTCACTGCACGCGTACGGCACGACACGCGCGACGTGGTGGTCAGACCCCTGCTTGGCAAGTCAATCTGTCATGAGGGGGAGGCGCACTATTTGTAGCGCTGCATCCACTTGAGCCACATCGGGCAGATGAAGGTGGTGAAGACGATGGTCGACGTGTAGGCGTAGGCCACCAGCGGATAGACGTTGAACAGGCACACGGTCACTATCGCTACCATGCCCCACGTGAGCCAGAGGTGCAAGCGCAGAGATTTTCGCTGTATGTGTGCGCACACGCAGAATCGCACACACCGCACGCACGCACGAGGGAGTGAGCTCACTGAACGTGTAGGAAAGCTGCAGCACAGGCTATGTAATCAAAGAAGGGAGACAAGTACCTTGACGTGATGGCGTATCATGGGAAAGAGAGCGAAGATCAGCACGGCGAAGCAGAGCAGGGTGAAGACCTGCATGCTGCCCGACAGGCGCGACCCCAGGAGCACTGACGCGAAGATCGCCGCATTCAGGGACACCGGAGCGCTCATCCTGCCCTCCGGAGATTTGCGTCAGCGTGAATGTCACAATTACTAAAATCTGTAAAAATGAAATATAAATATAAATAACAATAATATAATAAATATAAAAAAATAAGTGTACCGTTCGGCGTTGCCCTGGAGGTAGGAGTAATCGGCGAAGGCCAGGTGGAGGACGAAGAAGAAGATGGTGAGCGCCCAGATGGTGTCATTGCTCACGGACTCGACGAGCGTCTTGAGCACGGGCGACAGACCGAACAGCGTGCACACCAGCACCACGAGACTTCGCACGCCGCGCAGCAAATACTTCTCTGTTGTGTGTTGCGCGTGTGCGGTTTGCAGTGAGCGTGTGTCTTCAGTGAGGAGCGCGCGTGCGACACACAACACACGCATGGCCGAAGCGTACCAGTGAAGCGTGGATCGATCATTCGTCGCAGGACAAAGCCGGCGATGAGAAGGAGGGCCTCTCCGGCCAGGGTGAGCTGGAGCGACACGGACTCGTTGTAGATCGCAATGAACATCAAAATGAAGAGCGCGATGATGCTGGTGGAGCGTGAGTCCGTCAGTTCAGTCAGAGGCATTCTTGCCCCAAACGATACGAGAATTTGGGGGCTGAACCTTATCTGCGCTGTGACGGCCGCCGAATCGATGATGAGCATCACCGTATCATATTCCCGCTTGTTTGCTGTGGGTGCGTGTGCGTGTGCGTGTGCGTGTGCGTGTGCGTGTGCGTGTGCGTGTGCGTGTGCGAGTGTGTGTGTGTGTGTGTTGCGCAGAAGGTCAGTCAGCAAGAAATACTTGGCGCAACGGCGCAGCTGGCAGACCGTTGGTGATCATTCCGATCAGGAACGTGGGCTTGTGCGTGTAGTTGTCCTCGTAGGGCTGGTCCTCGTACAGCACCTTCCTCCACGGCGCTTTGCCCTGCCCCGCGTACTGGTGTTTTTTTCCGTGTTATTTGCAACTATGATGATAATTGAAAATAATATTTAATTATATATCATTATTATTTATCTCTGATAATTAGGATTATTATTTGCCAAATAATTAAAAATTCAGCATATTAGAATTAAAAATGTAAATCAACGTACGTTGGTGGTGCCGCGTGGGGTGGAGCATTCAGGGCAGGAGGTCTCATCGCGCACGAACTTGTGGCCGTCCCAGGGGCAGTACAGGTGGATTGCTGGCGCTGCGGCCTGGTGCCCCGCAGCCACCTGCCGAAATCGCTCGTACACGTCTTCCTTTGTTGTGCGGTCACCTCTGCCGTGCTGCCCCTTCTTCTTCTTCTTTACGCCGCAGTCTGCGGTCATGTCAGGCTTGGCTTCAGGTCGCGGCACCTCCTCCGCCTCAGCTGTCGCCACCCCGCCGAGCTGCTCCATCATAACCACTTCCCCCCTTCTTGCTGTTCACTTTTCTCTCCTTGTTGTCTACAGAAATACTTCTTCAACAAGAGCGCGTCGACCACTACCCCACATCTCTTACGGACTGCTTGCTGTGCGACGTGGCTGCAGCGGAGATGGTTGCGAGTGGATGTCCGGAAGGCCTTTCACACCTGCAAGCTGCTCAAGAAGCTGAGCGAGATGGGCCAGGTCCGCCTCAGCTACCTTAGGTCGGCGCGTGCCTTGACATCTGTGGTGGACGGGAGAGGCAGTTCTTTGCGCAGGATGTCTATGATCTCTGGCACGTTGACCGTCACGTCTCCTCGGCCATCCGGCGATTCGATGGGTATCATGTAGTAGTTGTGCTGATTGCGCGTGTTGTGCGTGTGCGTGTGCGTGAGCGTGTGCGTGAGCGGTTTTGGGAGTGCGTGTGTGTGAGCCATCGATTAGTAAAGTTCGCGAGTGCATGTGGTGTGGGTGGAGCGTCTTACCTGGAGGCAGGCCGCTTGCCACCAGGTGCCCTCGGGCCAGCGAAGCGCAGTCTTGACGTAGGGCTTGACCGGGAAGAACTCGACAACGAGGGTATCGCGCGGAGAGAAGTTTATGTTGTAGAACGCTCCCCCGTGTGGGCCTTTTTGAAGAATACTGTAGCTGAGTTCAGAGTACAACGCAACCGTGCGTGTGCGTGTGCGTGCGTGTGCGTGTGCGCGTGTGCGATGGCGCGTTCGCGGTCGGCTGGCAAGGTACCGATGACGGCCTTGACTTGGTGATTGAAAAAGTCTCGCGTGGCAAGGAAGCCGGGAAACTCCTTGTGGTTGAAGACGACCAACTCTTCTCCCGGCACGCCCCTGCTCGCCACGAATGCGCGCATCGCCGTCACCAGCGCCTCTTCGTTCAACACCTGCGAATCGTGCGTTATATACCACGGCATAAGGGTAAGGAGTGTGCCTGGGTTTTGTGTGTGGCGAGTACCTTGCGGGTCCGCCCGCGCGGGAGGTAGACGATCTTCGTCCGCTGCTGTATGGGCACATGGACCACTGGAGCGAAGATAGAGGGACAAAGCAATGCAGTGAATTTTACAGCACAGGATGACGTCAGCCGTGTTGTGTGTCACTTGTGTCGTGTGTCGTGTGGTCTGTACCACCCAGAATGTCGCGCATTCTTTGCCAAATCCAGGGATGAAATCGGGGCACGCGGCAGGTGTAGAGCATCTGTTCGGCAGACACGGTCCCGTTTTCAGAGGGCCACACCCGCCCATGTCGCCCGAACAGGTGTTGCCATATTTCGCCCCTGGTCGCCGCCGGGTGGTGGTGGTGAGTTGAGGGGTCCAAGACCAGTCCGGGCTCAGAGAGATACGCGCGCGATTGGGGCCGTGTGGTACCGAGTGTCAGTACCCGCAGGCTGGCTCGCTATGAGCCACGAGTAGTCGGTCGACACCAGGTCCCACGCTTGCGCTATGTCCGGCATCAATCGGTCGATAAAGTGCTGAAAGGACTTGTATTGCGGCCCTGGGAGAACGGCACCGCTGAATCAGTACACAAGGATACATACAATAAAGGCCGGCCACGGAGAGGATTCGTACCAACAAACACGGCCACCTTCTCGTATCTCGGCTTGAGCACCTGGTTCGCAGGTGGATAGAGCATGGTGTAGCTGGCGGGCCACTCGCACTCATAAGGGCCTGAGAAGGCCGAAGACGGTCGCCCGGCGTAGAGGCCTGTTGTTGGCATTCATCAACAAACAACACGTAGCAACATAAAACGACATAAAACCACAATGTGAGAATGTGAAGGTTCAATATATAAGCCAGGGTTATGAGTAACCGTTGCTGACGGAGACCACGTGGCCGTAGGTGAACTGCTCACCGTGGAAGACGAGCCGCTCCGAGGGCGGGAAGTCCACTCCCCGGCAGTTCGTGTTCTGGCAGTCCCTGGAGTCGTGCTGTTTCATGTAGCCCTGGACCTGTTGCAGCTCGAAGAAGAGGGTCTCGTGTTCCTTGCGGATGAACTTGGGCATCGGTATGACCCAAGTTGGGTACACGAACTCGGCCGCATATGCTATGCGCGGGTCCTGTGCGCACATGCCGATCGCCTCTCCCTGTTGTAGTTGTTGGTGAATGACATCACCCACGCGTGCGCAGGCAATCGCGAAAGCGGGGAGGCATGATGAGAGCTTGCTAGGGGACCTTGCTGCACTCGTTGATGCGCTTGGGCTGCAGCCGCTCGGGAGGTGAGTGAGGAGTCACATAGCGCTCATTGCCCACGTCCAGGTGCGGATGCAGCTGATCGCCCTCCCCCGCCTGCGGCCCCAGCCCCGATGCGTCGGCCACCGAGGGCTCCACCACCCGGCCTGGTGGTGCCCGAGCTGCCCACGTTTGCGAGTGTGCCCGTGTCTGTGTTTCTGTGAGCTGCGTGTCGCGCGGTGGTTGCGTGTGCGGTGTGCGCCGTGACACAGGAGACATAAGTCCACCCAAAGCTGGCTTCGAGCAAGCGGCGCTTTGTAGGGTGGGCACCAGTGGTGGCACGTGTGGTGGCGACTTGACCGGGTGAAGTGAGGGGGCCGAGAAGAAGTAGATGTAGGCGGCGACGAGCTGGCAGGCCACCAGCACCCCCACCACCGAGTACCAGAAGCACGTCCCGCCCCGCAGCACTCGCCTGACCGTTCCTGCCCGCCCCGCGGGAGTCGGCAGCAAGTGCGCCCCTTGCTCCCGTCGCAACTTCATCTTCGTCTCCCCTTCGTCACAAATCTCATCTAAATCACCTGAGCGTGCCACGTCAGCATTGTGCAATTCCTGAAATAGTTAACGAAATTCTGGCTCTTTGCCCCAAAGCGGAAGCGTGCGCTGAAAACTCAGAAGAAAGAAAGGTGGACAAAGCTGGGTGGGGGCTGGCGATAATCTTTGGTCTGTGGTGCGGGTCTCCTTCCTCGCTTCGTGAACCTCACAAGTTGCCGTCATCACCACAAGGTGCTGCCAACTTTTTCATTATTTTTTGTTATTTATTTACCGCGGTTTGGCCAACAAGCACACCATTATTCTTGATTTAATTTGCATTGGCTCCTGCGGCTTCTGCTTTCCCTTTGGCGTTCGGAAGCGAGGTGAAGAAGGTGTGCTGCGTCTTTTCCAGTTTTAGGCTTGATTTTTATCAAGCAACGTGGCAGCAGCGGTGCTCTCTCATTTCGCTAATTTCATCTCTCGAAATCGTGTGATGCGCGGCAGATGGGCAACGCCAACGCAAAACTGTGGGAGGCGGTGGAAGGAGCCGATGTGCGCACCCTGTGCGAGGTGCTCAAGCACAAGGAGGTGGACATAGACCATAGAAAGGAGTACAAGCTAGGTCGAAGGAATTGGAACCAGGTGGGGAATGGAGGGAATGGAAGCGACGAAAGCGGCTCGCCATCATCTTCGCTCTCATCGATCATAACGCCAGATGGAACGTCGGGAGGAGGTGGCGGCGGAGGAGCACTCAGCGAGATGAAGTACATGTTTCAAGGCGTGGACAAAGACGTCCTCACGCCCCTCCACGTCGCCTGCATGCGCGGAAATCGCGAGATCGTGGCTCTGCTGATGGCCCACGGTGCCGACATCCACATCAAGGCCGTTCACGAACGATACGGCCCCGCCTCGCTACGCGCATTTCGCAAACGAGGGCGCAAGATCCTCAAGAGATACGAGGAGGAGGGCTACATCGACGATCCCCAGCAGCAAGGTGGCGCTGCTGCTGCGTCCAAGCTGCACAAGAGCGCCAAGGAGATCAATCATGGCAACACGCTCCATCGATTGAACGTCAACGGCCACGGCGGCGGGCGGGCTGGTGGAGGTCACCAGCGCTCCTTCTCCTCCACGACTGCTTCTTCGACGGCGTCGGCGCTGCAGCCCTACCGGCTCGGCGAGGACGCGTCGTCGATGCACCGCCACGTCTCGCACGACGAGGGCGGGCTCAGCGGGGCCGCGACGATGCGGGCCGGCGGCCGGCAGGGCGCCAGGGGAGACAACCCGCTCGACGGCATGGACTACATCAAGTACTGCCAGTACACGGCCCTCTACTACGCCTGCAAGTACCGCAGCAAGGAGGTGGCCTACGACTTGATCTTGCGGCACATCGAGGTAACGACCACACACACAACACACACGACACACACACGAACAGCAAGCATGATACACGCGCACACACTACACGCCATACAATGTTTGTTCTGTGGCCCAACTGACTCGGTCCTGTGGGTGCGTTTGGTTGCGCTTGTAGGACTCAGCACGTGTGAGGTCGACACGAGGCGGGACAACGGACGTGGAGAAGGCCGCCAGCATCGAGAAGAAGCTCAAGGGAATCCTCACCAACAACTGGGTCGTCTTCATCGAGCTTCTCATCGACCATCGCGCCGATTTTGTGGCCTCGGTACGCAACCACCACCTGCACCTGCTCGCCTACCGGGTACTCCGTGCGAGCTCGAGCTGACCACCACCCTTCATGTACTCTCAAATGAATGCACAGCTCTGCGACGCTGCTGCGCGGGGCGACCTCCAAATTGTGGAGCTTCTGCTGGGACTGGGCGCCAATGTGAACGGAGAGGAGAGCGAGACGGTGGAGAAGGTGATACTCGAGCGCAAGCCATCCAAGTGGGACACGACGACGCCCTACGAATACATCAGCAGGGAGGACCGGCCGCTCTACATCGCCTGCCACAACGGGCAGCGGGAGGTGGCCGAATACTTCCTGCAGATGGGGGCCATTGTACAGGACGAAGATGTACGACAATCTAGATCACCGACCCAGTTTGTGTGTATGGCTTTTACTAATCGCTGCTCTTCTGGCGCGTCAACCATCTGCAGGTCAGCACTGCTCTCGAGTCCGGCTTCAGAGATATAGCAATGCTTCTTCTCGATGCGCAGGCGCAGCAGTCAGGCCAGTCGCGTTCGCAGGTGCGTAATCATGGTTGACTTTTCCTTTCTTGTAGAACGAAACTATTTCCCTGAGTGCAGTTGGCTCATTCATATTTGCACCCCACGCAGCAGGAGAAGTCGCACATGCCGGCGACCTCGTCGCCCGCCATCGAGCACAGCATCTACCCGATCATCGAGCCGCAGATTCCCCCGCGGATCCAGTCCCCTCCGGCCCTCGTTGTCGACCAGCCGCCACCACAGTACCAGTTCCACCACCAGCAACAGCAGCAACAGCAGAGCGGACTCTATCCGCCGCAGCAGCAGCCGCCCTACCTGCACACCTCGAACTCCTACGCGCCGATCACCTACCAGCAGATGAACTCGTATCGAGGCGGCCAGCAGTCCACCCCGCCCGACAGCCCGCCGCAGGGCTCGCCGCCCAGCCCGGTGGGCGGCCTGCCGGCGCATCACATCCCGGCGCCCAGCCCTCGCGGCGGCACGCCGGACCCGTACGGCCACCACCAAGTCATGAGCACGTCAACCACGCCCACGGGCTCGCCGCAGCTCTACTCGTCCGCGTCCATGCCGCAGCCGCAACTGCAGCGAAACATTTACGGCGCCTATGCGCCGACGGACGGCGGCGTCGGCCGGCCCTACTTCGCCCAGCCACAGGCGGCCTATCATCCGGCAGAGCACCAGCCCCGCGCGGCCACGCCACAGCCCGTCATGCCGGCTCCTGCGCCGTACTACCCCAGCCAGCAGCAGCAGCAACAGGTGAGCCCAGCCTCCCACTTGCCTTGCCTGTGTTTATTTTTATTACTGATCTTTTTTATACACAATTTACTTTGCTGGCGCCCGGTGTTTGTCTACAGGCTGCCGGTCCGCCGCCATCTTACATGCAGCACATCGTCCAACAACAGCAGCAGGCGCAAGCACAAGCGCAGGCGCAGGCACAAGCTCAGGCGCAAGCGCAGGCGCAGGCACAGCAACAGGCCGCCACCAACATGTATCAATCGTCGGCGATGGTCTACGCGCAGATCCCAATGGGACAGCCCTATCCGCGTGCCGTGCCTCCCATCCCGGCACCCCAGCCTGTCTACCAGCAGCAACCACCGCAGCCGCAGCAGCCGAACCTTTACCAGCCGCAGCCGCCGCAGCAACCACCCCAGCCCGCCCCGTCGCCACACCTACGACTCAACTACGGACCCGGCGCGGGCCACTTTGTCGCCCCCTCTGCTCCGGCCTATATGCCGCCTCCGGCCCAGCCCCAGGGCTATGGACTCGCGCCGCCTGTGCCGCCGCACCAGCGCAAGCCCAGCGAGGGAGGCCTGGCCGGCGCCATGCCCATCCCTAAATCCGACGGCGCGATGGTCCTCTCCGAGACGGGTTCGAGCGACTACATCCACAACGAATACGAAGTTGACTACAGCGAGGTGGAGGTGGAGAAGGAGCTCGCGCGCGGAAGCTTCGGCATCGTATTTACCGGCAGATGGCGCGGCACCGGTACGATGGCGCTTTTGCTGTCAGCCCTTCGAGCTCCCCGATTCACCCATTCCGTGTTACGAAACAGATGTGGCGATCAAGAAGCTCGTGAATCAGAACCTCAGCCAGAAGGAGCTCGAGGAGTTCCACGCTGAAGTGAACGTGATGAAGTACGCTCGTCCTATCATGCTCTTGCTCGTTGTTTCGTAGCTAATCGTACACCTTACTTCGCCAATTTGCTCTCTGGCGATCACAGGAAGTTGCATCACCCGAACGTGGTATGGTTCCCAGCTTTCATTTGACAAAGAATGCGGTTGATAGCATTCACGTATTCTAATTTACTGTTGATTGTTTTTCTGGGTATTTATTGTGCAGCTGCTGCTGATGGGCGTGTGCAGCCAGCCGCCCAACCTTTGTATGATATGCGAGCTGATGACCGGCAGCCTTTGGGACCTGCTCCACCGGCGCAAGGAGGTGCGACTCGACTGGAAGCTCGTCATGCGCTTCATCACCGACACCGCCAGGGGCATGGTACCGCCGCCGCCCTCAATCTTTACTGTCTAGCATTGTAACAATCTAACCACTAACCATGCTCTACTTCACCAACGCTGAACAGAACTACTTGCATCTCTTCAAGCCGCCAGTGCTCCACCGTGACTTGAAGACCCCCAACCTTTTGGTGCCCACCTTCTCCCCTTGTTATGGAAGGACCACGTACAGCTGCGCATGCTTACATGTACGATACGCAGGTGGACAAGGACTTCAACGTGAAGATCGCCGATTTCGGACTGGCCAGACTCAAGGCGCACGTCATGACCGGCAACCTGGGCACGTGCCAGTACATGGCACCTGGTAATTCACATACCCCGACCCTCCCTCTCTGTACCGCGGCCGTGCACTGTGTGTCGTGTGCTCAATCTCTCGCCGGTGTGGTGGTGAACGCAGAGGTGCTGAGGAACGAGAGCTACACCGAATCGGCCGACGTGTACAGCTTTGGCATCATCGTGTGGGAAATCGTCGCCCGAGCGCCTCCATTCCACGGGATGCAGACCATGCAGATCGCCTACTCTGTCAACCAGGGCATGCGGCCGCCCATCCCCTCCCACTGTCCTCTCGTACGACTTCCTCCTCCGCATCGTCATCTCCCCTTTTGTTCTGTTTGTTCGTTTGTTCATGTCGCCTGACGTGGCCTGACGTTCGTTGGTCTTGTGCAGCCGCTGCGCGACCTCATGCAGCGATGTTGGAACCAAGACCCGCGCCTGAGGCCGTCCTTCACCGCCATCCTCAACCAGATCAAGGGCATCAAGCTGTAAAACACTACTACGGTGGTGACGCCTGGTCGCGAGCTGCCGAGGAGCTGTTGTGCTTTATTTTAATCCTCTTTTTTACGGCCAATAATCAAAGAATGCCAAGCATTTACTTGTTTCCCGCGCTTTTTCTGCCTTTTGGCGCTCTTTTCTTGATGGCAGATTTGTGATTTTGGTAAATGGACAAGAAGCACAAGGAGCTTCTCGCGGCTTGCGGCGAGGACAAGCCCATCGAGGAGCTGGTCGCCCTCGTCAAGCGACATGTACGCACACCCGCTTCTTTTTTCCCCGCGATTTTCTAATTGAACACATTTCAAATAAATCGCTGGACATGCTACAGAGGGCGCGAGGCGATAATTATGACCTGAAAGAGATCGTGGAGACATTCCCTCGCAAGCACTACGAGCAACTGTGGTCGGCGCTACACGTCCACGTATCTGCCATTGTAGAAGGCTCTACGTTTACGAAGCCAGAGGCCAACGACGAGCAACAGCCACAACAAGCCAAGAAGTCAAACGCAAAGGCAAAGCCTGCCGCCAAGCGAGGCAGGGGTCGCCCCAAGAAGAACGATGAAGAAGACGAAATGGACGTAGACGACGAAGTGGAGGAGGTGGACGATGAGGAAGAGGAGGAGGAAGAGGAAAAACCCAAGAATCGAAGCAAGCGGGCGAAGAAGGGTAGCGAGGACAAGACCGCGGAGACGGCGCTCGAGTACTTGCGGGCCGTCGCCCTCCTGGCCAGCCTGTTCATCGCCTCCAAGGACAGGATCGCGCCCGACAGCCTCTTCGACAGCGTTGCCCTCCTTCACGGTGCTTACCTTCACGACACACGCGCACATACGACGACACATGCGACCAACAGCACGAGCGTGAGTGCTCATTTGGCTCCTCTACTACAGGCATACTGCTGGATGTGTTGGCGATCAAGGGTGCCGGCCACGCCCTGCTGCTGCACAACGAAATCGCCCAGTTATGCGAGACGTGGTGGAAGCAGGACCGTACGCAGAAGGAGGCGCTCGTCCCGCTGACCATCTTCTACCTCGTCCTTCAGGTCACTCGCTCGCTCGCTCACTCTCTCCCATAGCCTCAATGGCGCCGCCTGATCTCCACCGTATCTCAACGTGTGCTGTGTGTCGTGGTTTAGACCCTGGAGGAAGGAGCCAAGACAGCCACCATCAAGCGGCTCTACGACTTCAGGAGCGCGCTTCTCCTGCTGGACTTTCAGGACGACAGGTACGACAAGCCACGTCCGAGAAACCGCGCAATGTGATCCATTCGGGAGGTGGAGGCGGTAGTAGTACGGTGCCTGACTCGTCCTGCGTTCCCGACGTGTATGCAGCTCGACTCAGCTCAAGGGCCTGCTGCTGCGCTGCTTCATTCACCCGATGTTCCTGCGCGCGGCCGACGGCAAGAAGTTCCTCGTGTATCTGTTCGGTCTCCACCCTCCGTACATCGATGCCATACATGACACCATCAAGGGGCAGCTTCCCGCGTGTCCCAAGAGCCTGCTCGAAGCCTACGGCGAGGTCTACTTTAAGGCCTGGAAGGTGGCGCAGGGACCCTACCTGCTCAAGCTCGGTACCGAGTTGCCTGCTACGTAGTGGGATGTCGTGTCGTGTCGTGTCGTGTCGTGTCGTGTCGTGTCGTGTCGTGGTTTGAGTCTCACGCTCACTGCTGATCCATCGTCACGATGCTAGAGTACACTTGCCTCCAGGACTTGATCTCCTGCGCCGTGCACGTGCAGAACGAGGCCGTGGTTTCGGGCCTGAGAAAGGTCCTTCGCCACATCCACGAGCAGAAAAAGCAGAAAGGGGTACGCGGGCCTCTGACACAGTTACCACCACTCCAAGGCAGTGTTGTCGTCTGACTCAACCTTGTTTCTGCCTCCAGGTGGACGAAATGCTGCTTCGACTTTACGAGCCCATTATTTGGCGTTCGCTCAAAGTGGCCAATCCCATGGGTAGGCTCTTAGGCACCGCCTTTGTCGTATTCACTCAGCTCTCACCATATAATATATTGTAATCGGATGCAGTGCGCCGCAATGCGACGGTGCTGCTGGCCGATGCGTTTCCGCTTCAGGATCCGGACAGTGCACAGCGCGAGACAGACGAGCTGCTTCAAAAGCAGTTCAACCAATTCGAAGCGTTGCTCACCGACGATGTCCCGGTGGTCCGATGCGTGGCAGTCCAGGTATCTACAACTTACTTCCTCTTCCTCGTCTTCTCCTTCTTCTTCTTCGCGGCGCGAGTGCTGAGTCTTCTTTCTTCTCTCTCTTCACAGGCAGTGTGCAGAATACTTGGAGTGTTCTGGGAACTGATTCCTGCCGCCACCATACGCACTCTGCTCACCAAACTCATCAACGACTCGGCCCGAGACAAGAGGTACGCCGCTCTGCCGCTTTTGGAGGGCAGTCTGACTGACTGACCAACTGCCCTTGGCGATCACGTCTGCCTGCAGTTCGAGCGCTGTGCGGCAGGCCGTGTTCGAGGGCCTTCGATATTTGCTGGACAACCACCTCAGTCAGCCGGTGCTCAAGAGTGCGCTCAGATCCTCCACCCTCTTTGTCATGTTGCCTGGAGCACTGCAGGTTTTTTTCCAACCCCCCCCCCGCCTCATATCTGTACAGCCCACCTGCCTCAGCTGGCGCCGCTCATTCACGATACTGCCGAGCGCGTGCGCGTCGCCTTCATCGATCTCCTGTGCGAAATCAAAACGATTCGCGCCATTCGATTCTACGACATCGTGCCCATCGAACACCTCCTCACCAGGCTTGAGCTAGGTGCGCCACTTCTCTGATCCGCCTCACCCCACCTGCGCCGCCAGCGACCCGGCTTGCCAATACTAATAATAAAATCCACGATACCGCATGCAGATTCTCTGACCGTACAGAAGAAGCTGACCAAGCTGTTGCTCAACTCATACTTCCCGCTCGATCGCAAGGGTTCTGTGCAGGTTACCTCCCCCCCCTTCGAATCAACTGACGTTGGGAACTACCACTGACTACTACTACTTATTCGTGCAGGCCAAGCGCTGTATAATTCTGGTGCAGGGCAACCGCAAGGCCGGCCTGCATTTCTACGCGAGCCTGCGCCAGTGCGTCGCCGCGGGTCCGCTCTGCAAGTTCATCGGCGTGCTCTACAAGCTGCTGTGCAAGTGTATCGAGCGGGCGGCCAGCAGCGGCGCTGGCGCGAAGGACAATGGCAAAGGCAAGGGCAAGAGAGCGAGGGACGAAGAGGAGAAGTCCGAAGAAAGTACGTACACTCACACTCTCTCGTTCCGTGCGTGCGTGCGTTAGCCTTCTCACACCGTTTCTGACTGCAGTCAGCGCCAAGGACTCGGACCTCATGGAGTCGATTCTCGAGGTCATGTACACCCTCTGGGACTCGATTCTGCCTGACCTCAAGAAGGAGGAAAACAAGGCCGCCAAGAAGGTACATTTCTTGCTTTCTGTGAACTGTCGTTCGATCAACCTGTGCTCATCACATGAGGTCTCGCCTCTCCGCCGTAATCTTGTCCATACAATAGTACCTGAAGGACACGTTCAACGACGAGGCGTTGGAGAATCTCACGACCAACTTCACCACGCCCAAGGCCCAGTTGGCCATTCTCCGCATCGCGTCCAACCTGCCCAAGGCCAACCTCACTCGCTTCGCGACCACCAGTCTCGCCAAGCTCAAGCAGGTAACACACACACACGTGCGCGCGCGCGCTCGCTGGCTCGCTCGCTCACACGTCCGTTCGGTGCGCGCACAACCGACAGTTGAACGAGGGCGACGAGAACACAAACAAGTTCGAGCCCCTGCTGTCGTGTTTGTTCGCCTGGAAGTACGAGGCCGACGTGATCAAGCTCATCCGGGGCTGGCTCGTCAGTGGGCTCGCTCAAGAGGGTGGCGCGGCCGCCGCGCAGGCCAAAAAGAAGAAGGCCAAGGCCAACAAGAAGAAGACGCAGAACAAGAAGAAGGCCACGCGAGGCAGGAAGGCGCGCGACGACTCGGAAGACGAAGATGGGGTCAGTGACGACGAGGACGACGCGAAGGAGTGCAAGCCGTTCGTGGCACTGCGGCTGCTGGGCTCGATCATGGAGCGCGAGCCGATGCGGGAGAAGCTGTTCAAGCGCTACGACTTGGCCGTGGGCATCATGGCCGCGTTCGAGTCCTACCTCACCCTCATCGAGAAGCGATTCGACACCAACGACGACGACGACGATGAGAACGGAGACGAGGAGCTGCCCGACGCGACCCTGTTCCGGGTGATGGACTGCTTCACGCGGTTCCTCATCCACGCCATCGGCAGCAGCGAGCCCCAGTGGAAGGAGAAGGGCGAGGAGGTCCTCGAGCGCCTGCTCACGTGGACCAACGGCACCCTCCTCCCCGTGTTGCGCAACACCCCCGCAGACGATTCCGAGGAGGCGCTCGCCGACGCCTTTGCCTTCATCGATCAGGTTCGAAGTCTTCCCACCACCGCCAAGCGTGGTTTGTTGTTTGTTGACCCCAAACAACAGTTGGCCAAGCATGTGGCAGTGGTTGCGACCGAGTTGGTGGCGTTTGGGCTCTGCGACAACGCCAACATCCGCCGGGCGGTGGAGCTCACCAAGGGCCTCCTGTCCGTTTCCCGTGCGTGATGGACTCCCGCTTGACTCGCCCCGCGCTGCGGCGCTGCCTTATTTAACTTTCTATTTTTTTCCCTCAAACGCGCGCAGGCCGATCTTTCGTCGAATCGCTGGCGATCCCCATAACGAGCCGCCTGCTCTACCAGCTCTACCACGAGGGCAGCAACGAGGTACCTCGACGAACCCAGGCCTTAACTAAGATCCGCCCCGCTCACCATGCATTGTGTGTTGTGTGTGTCGTGTGTCGTGTCGTGTGTCGCGTGTCGCGTGTCGCGTGTCGTGTGTTGGACGTGAAGGAACTGGCGTCGAGCTTGTTCATGTTCGTGCTGGAGGTGATCCCCGCGGAGCTGCTCCCCAACCTGCGCCCGTTCATCTCGGAGCTGTTCGCCCTGCACAACCACCGCGGCAGCCTCTCGCTCTTCCTCCACCCGCTGCTCGAGAAGCTCCTGCTCGAGTTCATCGAGGTGCCCACGGCCTACCCGTGCAACCTGGCGCGATCGGTCTCGCACCTCCCGGCCACGCCCGCGTTCGTCATCTCCAACGTCATGCGCTCCTCGCCCGCCGTGGCCTCGCTCGCCGAGCTCCTGGAGCAGATGCTTTCCCAAGGTTCCATCGATGGTACAGCTCCCACCGCACACACCGCACACGACACACACGACACACGTATAACACTTTCTGATGTGGCGTTGCAGATGGAGAGTCGTATTTGCAGCTGTTGTGGCGTGCGCTGGAGGTGATCTCGGTGATGGTGGACAACGAGGACGCGGCGGGCGGGAAGGCGGGCGGCGGCAAGTCGGGCGGCAAGCAGGCCGATCTCTCGCCGCTGCAGAACTGCCTCATCAGCATCGTCTCCAAGACGCGCCTCGGCGACAACGACGACGAAGACGATATTGACGTCGACGAAAACAGGCACGTCACACACCCTCTCAGCTCCACTGTGTTCTGAAACTGACCGTCTGTACACCGCACACATACACCGCACGCACCGCACACACCGCACACACCGCACACACCGCACACACAGGGAACTTTCGGCGGCGGTCATCAGTAAGTTGGCGGACGGGTTGCTGAAACAGAGCATGGGCGGTGGCGACCTCGGCCTCGACGACGACAACATGGAATCCCAGCCCTGAACTCGCTTCCCCCCGCCCTCGCCTCAACCAACATGTAAAAAAATAACCAGGCGCCTAAAACATTCTTGCTTACCATCATGTTTGGTAGCTGTGTGGAATGTGTTTTTTTTTTATGTCAAGGAATGCAGATATCTACATGGTAAAGGAGTGAGGCAGTGGGAAGAAGGGCGACCGATATCGGCCGCCGCGGACCAAGGCTTCGGCGCATGGCTCCCTTTTAGCAGGAGGAGCCGACGACGTGGCGGGGCAGCCCTCGCTGAGCTCAAACAGCTTGAACTGGGCGGTGTAGACGTTGCCGGACAGGTCGAAGCCCACGCCGGGCAGGGCGCCGTTGTGGCAGCCGAGGGTCACGTTCTGGAACGCCTGCGAGCCGATGGCCATGCGCAGCACGCCCTCGCGCGTCACCAGCACGTCGAACGCGTTCTCGGCCATGCGCGACGACACCTGCTCGGCGCTGAAGGGCTGGCCAGGCCGCGGTTGCAGCCCACGTTGAGGTTGGACACCACGCCGAACGAAGGCGTGTCTTGGTTGACCAGGCCGTCGAAGTAGCGGTTGAAGTAGACATTGCCCTGCGCGTTGGCCACCTGCAAATAGTGAAGAGTTCGTTTAGGTCCGATGACCACCACAAAATTTCTCGGACCTTCAAAAAGCGAGAAAGCGAAAGAGAGAAAGAGGCCAAAAGACTTACGGCGGAGGTGGAGGCGCTGGCAGTGGTGATGGTGAGTTGCACGCAGCGGTGGCTCTGGGCGCCGGTGAAGATGGGCTCAAGGGCGGCAGAGCAGCTGTCGAGGCCGTGGGTCTTGTGGGCCAGCGCCAGGAGGAGCACGAAAAAGAGCGCGAAGGAAAAACCGGAGATGGAGACGTTCATGTTGTTACTTTGGTGCGAAGTATCCGCTGGTTTTGTAGAGGGTTGTTGGTTGTTGAAGTGGTTGATTGTGTTGATGATAATGATGGACCTGGCCTGGCCTTTTTATGTTGATGTCGAGGTCCAGCTCGGGCATAGCGCAGCAGCATGGTGCACGACGAAGAGTAAGAGAACACATGGAAAATGCACACAACCTACCTGGGTGGGCCACGAGACGTGATGAAGTGTGCATGAGGCAGGGCTGGGGCTGGGTTGGTTGGTTGGTTTTTGTCGACGGAAAGGACCCGCAAAGCGGGGCTAGAGGCAATGAGCCCCCCTTTCCACGTCGTAGGTGGTGAGGCGGCGCCTATGCGCCGGCCTCCACTTGGGACTTGGCACTATCGTGCGCCGTCTTCCACGCGTTACTGTCTACGAGGGCCTTACACCGGGCCAGCCAGATAGAGTGTGCGCCTTTGGCGATGGTAACAGCAATGTTTTGAATGAGGGTGTTCTTATCAGTGACGCCACAGTAGTCGAGTGCGTAGCGCAGCGCATTGGGGACGTAACCAAGGGTGCCCAAATCCGGAGCATATGGACGGAGCTCTTCGAAGGGGGCATACGCGCAAGGGGCGGTACCATGTGCAGCGCTCCCGGCGTGAAACCACAGGGGAATGTCGGTGACAACGGGGTCGGCGGTAGTAGCAGCAGCGAGTACGAGGCTCTGCACTTGCTGTGCCGTGCGCGTGGCTATGTCCGCGTTGGCTGGGCAGCTAGGTGAGAAGGGGTGCGTGCTCGTTTCCTTGTCCACCCCACAAGCGGGGCACAGCTGGCTCTGGTAGACCAGCTGTCTGGCAAGCCACTTGACTTTTCTGTTTGCGTCGGTGGCTGCAGCTGCGGGAACCGGGATGGGGGCAGGCCCTCCGGGCGTGCGGCGCCAGTAGAAGTGGTGGCGCACGGCCCTCACGGGCAGGGCGCCATATCTGGCCTTGTGGAGGAAGTTGGACATGCGCCCAGTGTCCAAGCACTGGGTGGAGTCCAGGGCTGCGTGTGTGGCTGGGTAGTTGGTGCGCTGGTCTCTGAGGAAGCGCCTGTTGACGGGCTTACGACGCATGCGTGCCGGCCATTTCTTGTTTCGGTGGAAAGGACCGCACGTCTGACGTTGCCAGGGACCTCCCTGCCGCCTTGGTCAAAAAGCACTACTGTCCGGCCTTCACGGCCCATGGTCCATACGTCATGTGTAGGGGGGGCGTGGTGCGCATTGCCCGCCAACAGGTCAGCGCCCACGTTGCCTTCAATCCAGCGGGAGTGCGCCCCACAGTCGATCTTTCATGCTGTGAAGCTTGTACTTAAGCTTGGTGAGCTCCTTGGGGCCTGCTGCGCGTGCCAGGCGTTTCTTGTCCGGTATGTGACTATACACGTGCTGGTAGGTGACCGTGTGGCCGCCTGTCTGATCGCGCGGACGTGTAGACCGATGCGACACACGACCGCCTCGCCCACAAATTTGCGTCTGCGGCTGTCTGACCACGTGTGCCAGTTGTTAATGCAGCTGATGGCCGCTCATGAGTCAGTAGCGATACATAGGTTGACCCCACTGGGGGCGCTAAGCAGCGCCTCTTCGATGGCGTGAAGCTCCGCCAGCGTTGAAACAGGTTGTATGGGAATGGAGAACTTGCGATTGCGGTGGGAGCCCTTGCCGTAGTACACTGCGCCGGCAGCTGACTCGCCGACACACGAACCGTCCGTGAAGACGGTGAGGGTACGGGTGGGGTAATGAAAATGTAGGTCTACCAGTTCCTCTGCCGAGATGGAGAATCTGTAGACCTCCCTCAGGCGTGCCTCAGCTACTGCTACTGGGCCAGTTCGATCCCCAATCCAAATCGCGCCACCTAGGCCATGCTTGCCATCCTTGCGTCCGCAGGGCAGACACCCATCACACTACAGCTGTTTCATTGGAAATGAACGCGTGGTTCCATGTGGCAGTGGTGGTGAGGGCGCTTAGCGAAACTGACGTCATTTCCTGCAGTGTACATGCGCAGGTGATGGCAGTTTGTAAGTCGTGTAGGTTGACCAATCCCTGGCCACCCTCTGCCTGAGACATGAAGAAGGGTTCGTTGTCAGCGTTAGATGGGACCCCCATGGAGCATTTTAACGCCTGCAGGACCATGGTTTGGACATTCTCCAGCCAGTTGTATGTGTATGGAATGATGCACATACCGTATGTGACATGGGCATTGAGGACCATGTTGGTGAGGTATATCTGATTGTCTGTGGTGAGCCGACGATTGCGCACCAGGTTGAGGTAGGTAACGACCTTCTTACGCATGTAAGTGGTGTGGTCGTTCCACTGCAGGTGGAGATTAACCCAAACTCCCATATATTAGTAGGACTGGGAATCTGGGAGGTACACCACATGGCCAGGGGAATCACTTGCCACTGGGACCTGCAGAGAAGCACGCACATTGGTCTGGGTTGACATGTACGCTTTGTGGGATTCACCTCCAAGCTGGCCCACTTGGAAAATTGAAGTAGTTGGGTGAACATCTCAGCCATGTTGGCGGCGCAGCTGGTGAGGAGTATGAGGTCATTGCAATACGTGATGATGGGAATGCAGAGGCTGTTGGTGAAGTGGTACCCCCCAGGCCTGGCTGCAACCCAGTTGAGTAACAGGTTGATGGTGATGATAAACAAGAGAGGGGAAAGTGTATCCCCTTGGTGAACTCCTCATGAGATGGGGAATGGCTTGCCAGCCTTGCCATTGATGAATATGTCCAAGTGCCCACCTTCATAGAGCTGGTGAATGAGTTTCATGAAGTGAGGGCCTACGCCATAATACTCCAGTGCCTGGAAAATGGTGTTGTGGGTGATTGAATCAAATGCTTTTTTACAATCAATGTACATGAGGTGCAGCTCAGTACTGCGCAGGTTGGAGTCCTTGAGCACATCACCACTGCTCTGAGGGCTGACTGTGCTGACATTCCAGGATGGAAGCCCATTTGGTGGCGTGAGAGGATGTGTTCACCTGCCACCAACAATAAGTGGTTGGTGATGATTTTTGTGTAGATTTTATAAACTACCTGGAGCAGTGAGATAGGGTGATATTTCCAGGGTCTGCTGGTGATCTGGGTTTGGGAAGTAAGATGATGCTGCCTTCCAGCCAGCTAGCTGGAAGTGGGGCCTGAGTGGTAATGAGTTAATTCATCAGCTCATGGATCCAGTCTTTCTCAGCTGGGGCAGGCTTTGGAGAACCTGAGTGTCCAGGCCATCAGTGCCAGGGGCCCCCTGTTTGGCACCATTAAGTGCTTCTTTGAATTCCTTTGCAGTGACAGGTGTGGTGAGGCCCCTGATGGTGGCTGGAGGGAGGGGAGCATGACGTGTGTGGAACCATGGGTGGCGCCCTTTGTATTTACTGGTTGGGGAGTACTGTGCTGCCCAAAACTTGGAGAAGGCTGTGATGATGGACTCAGGGTTGTGATAGGTGACCCTGACGCCTCCTTTGACGACTGTGGTGGCCTTGACATGCTTTGGGGAGCCTCAGTTAGATAGGTGGCGCCAGAATGTAGATAGTGCCATTGGAGTGGCCAATGCAATCCTGGTCCCTGGAACAAAGTAGAGTTTCCAGTTGTGCACACAGTAGCTTAGACCTGTGTTCAACTTGGGACAGGTATGTGAGTGTCTCAACATGCAACCATTGGGGGGCAGGGGACAGCGCACCCACTCAGGCGTGGCAGCAAGTTTACACATTGCTGTGGTGGTTGCAGCTGGTGTGTTGTCCATTATGCACATCTTGACATAGTGCACTGCCTTGATGGCCTTGTGAGAAAACCTACAGGTGAGACCTACCACAACTACCTACCAGTCTCTCTTGATCCTAGCTTCCTTGTGTTGAAGCAAGGCGTTGGTGCACCACATGACCTCATGTGTGACTTTGAGATGCAAAACAAGGGTGCACATGATAGAGTGTCTCTGTGCAAACTCCCAGTTGCTCCTTTCTCCCACCATGTTCTTGGCCAGCATGATCATTCTGTCTACCTCACCTTTATCCATCCCACAGCATCCCAACCACACCACAAGCAGTCCAGATTCTCTCTTCAAGATCAATGCCCATATGCCCCTCACCACATGATCCTTGGACTGATAGGCACCTTCAAGGAAGTCTATGGTCTTTCAAAAGGAAGAAAACACCTTTTCATGCCAGTGCTTCCATGTCAATTGCAGTGTATTTCTGTACATCTCCCCTTCTTCCTGTTGTTTTCCATCTTCATCCATCTTCTCCTCCTTGTTGTCCTCCTTGTTCTTGTCCTCCTCTGTGGCATGTGCACCATCATCATCATTGTTGCAATTTGTTGTTGTTGTTGTTGTTGTTGTTGTTGTTGTTGTTGTTGTTGTTGTTGTTGTTGTTGTTGTTGTTGTTGTTGTTGTTGTTGTTGTTGTTGTTGTTGTTGTTGTTGTTGTTGTTGTTGTTGTTGTTGTTGTTGTTGTTGTTGTTGTTGTTGTTGTTGTTGTTGTTGTTGTTGTTGTTGTTGTTGTTGTTGTTGTTGTTGTTGTTGTTGTTGTTGTTGTTGTTGTTGTTCATGCTGCTGGGTCCAAATCTGTGTCCCTGCTAGCCTTCTTGCCGTATCCCTGGACAGTAAACTCACACATTCTGCTCCTGTCAGCAGTGATGCCTTCCACCCTCATGTAACACAGGAAGTAGCACATGTCCACCCACTGCACAAAGGGTTTGATGATGCCAGTGAGCATTCCACTCTGCAGTTCAACAGGATTGAGCATGTCTACAGGGGTATAGTGTGTCCCAGTGACATTGTCCTCAACACACTTGTAAAAGTGGCTCTGGATGACCATGCACAGGGTGGTGCCCAGCCTCTGGTACTTGTGGAAGACCCTCATTGTGTTCCACCTCAGGCACATAAGGCAATAGCCTGGTATCACCAACAGCAGTGCACCTCCTCCAGTTATGAACTCCCTCTCCTGCTCAGGCCAGAGGAACTTGTGCCTGATGAACCTGTTGCTGGCCCCAGAATGTGAACCCCTGCTGCCACCACCTGTCTTCCTCTTACTGGCCTTCCTCTTGTTGACCTTGCCTCCTCCTCCTCCTCCAGTGGCGCCATCAACACTGGTGAGGGTGGAGAGAGCAAAGACATTGCTGTGGCCTTGGCCCTTGACAGAGACAAGATGGCATCACTTGCACTGGTAGCAAGACCTTCTCTGCTGGATGGTGTCATGACAGATGGTGAGACAGATGGTGGATTGGTCTGTTTGGTTGTGATTGACATCACAGTGTCCATTGAGATGTTAGCCCCAAGAAGTTGATGCTCAGATACTTTGACACAGGATCTTCTGGTTGTGTATCATTATTGCTGCTGCTGCTGCTCTCTTGGCCAATGGTGGCTCTGCTGGCACCATTTCCATTGCTGTGGTGGTTGTTGTTTTGTTGTCTGTGGTTGGACCTCTGACTGAGAGAGGATGAGTTCTTGTTCTTCCTACCACTTTGGGAGCTGGTCTCCACCTTGATAGTAGGACAAAACACTGTGTCCAGAAAAAGTGGCACCTTTTGTTAAGTAAAATCTGTACAAGTGATATATGTGTATGTGCAGCAAAAGCAGTACTTTTGTGAACATGGTGTGTGAGTGGTTTTGGCAAAATATGTACAGAGAGTGGCAAAACAGGGAAAAATGGTGTAGGTCATGGTAAAAGCAGATGGGGCCAAGGAAGAATTTCAAGGCATAAGTGTAAAAAAGGGCTCATGTATTTTGTTGGAATGAGGAACAGAACAGAGTGGAGGGAAACATTAGCCAATGGACTTCCACACTTTCCATGGACCAGAAGAGGAGGAGGAGCTGGGTGGTGAGAGGGGCAAGGGCAGGATGTGAAGTTAGGCCTTGTAGGAAGGAAGTGATGGCTGTGAGATCTGACTCCTCCAGGAATTTAGAGTGGAAGGTGAGGAGCCAGTTGCTGAGAGAGGAGATGTTGCCCTCTGCTATGGGGGTAGAGGAGAGGCAGACAAAGCTGGAGTAAAGGGCAGCACAGAAGGAGAGGTAGTAGGTGGGATTTGCCTCATAGAGAATGTGGTAGGGGGTGGTGGGCGATGTGATGGGGTGGGGAGAAGGATTGGGAAGCTCTAAGCTCTGGATGAGGAAGCTGTAGAGGCCAATGTGAAGCAGGGTGCAGTCCAATGATTGAGCAGTGAGGAAAGCAGGAGCAGAGCAGACAACCTCATGCGTTGGGTGTGGGATGGGGATGTGGTGCAGATAGCAGAAGGGTTCAGGGATGGTGTCACTGGCCAGAGGATGCCAGATGGCAGACATGTTGACCCTCTTGTGGCTGAGGATGAGAACATTGAAGCCACTGACAAGAGGTTCAGAGGTGGGCATGGAGCTGGAGTAAGTTGGGGAGCTGTAGTAGAAGTGGAGTAGGCAGAAGACCTGGAGGGTGGAGTGTGACTCAAGTGAGGTGATGGCATTGGCAATGTTGGAGGGAGATGAGGAGATGTAGAATCCAACACTGTAAGACTTTGATAGGCAAGTTGCCACATCATTGATGTTGAGAGGAATGTCTGCACTGTGGATGGTAAAGTCATGCATGTAGATCAACACCTGTGGAAGAAAAAAACGGTGGACATCAGGAATAAGTGAAAAACCAATGTGCATCAGGGAAAAGAGTCAACAAATAAAAAACCTAATGCACATCAGGAAAAGTGTCAACAAATAAAAAAACCTATGCACATCAGGAAAACAATGTGGGCCAATAAATGCACTGGCCATTCATGGAATTGCATTGGTTGGCCAAGAAGCTTGGTGAGCGGCTTGGTGAATTGGGGGAGATACTTTTTCTGGAGAGCAAGCTCTGCCTTGTGCTTGATGGTAGATGGCGACTTTTCCTCTTCAGCCTTACCCTTGCCATGTTTCTTGGTAGCTGTAAAGAATAAGCATGTGGTGAGCTTGGAACTTTACCAGCAAAATGAAAATGTACTGGTTGGGTGGTCAGAGTGGTGCCAGAAGCTTCAGTGGCAGTGGGTACTGTGGGCTGAAGTCAGATAATAGTGGTGTAAGTGAAAGTAATGGGGTGTGAATTGGAACAGGAAGGAGTTGATTGTACCATTTTCCCCTTGGCCAATGCAGAAAGACGCTGGTGCTGTTTGCTTGTGGATGTTGAGGCAAGGGAGGCCTCCTCTGCTTGAGAAGCTGTGGTGGCATGTGCAATCTCCCCTTGTAACTGGCGAGGTGTGGTCTCCTCTGCCTCATTGCTGAGCAGTTTTGACTGGAATGGGTGCTTGCAGAACATGTTGACAACTTTGGAGGTGATGCTGTGGGGCTGCTTGATCTTGATGTTTTTACTGTGCAGCATGATGTATTCTGCAATGCAGATCTGGTCCCAGATGTGGTGAAGCTCCTCAGGATCTTTGCAGCAGCAGTCAGCCTCTGTGGCTGCATGAATGGCCTGATGAAAGGCCTCCATCTGCCTTTTGATCATGCTCCAGTGGTTGGTGATTAGTGACCAGAAGTTCTCTGGCAAGAGGGAAGTAGTTAGACTTGTGGGGAGAAGAACAAAAGAACTAAAAAGAAAGGACATACTCTTGGAAGTGGTTTGTAGTTGTTGTTGGTTGCAAAGAGGGAAAGATACAACAATGATAGAAGAATGTTGGTGCCATTTATTCTCAGTAATGCAATCTGTTCCATGATGTTAATGACCAAACAAATGATAGAGCAATAGTGACCTCACTGCTCATGCAATCTGGCGGATTTTAACCTCCTCTCCTTGAGGCAATATATACCTAAAAAGGGAATGAGGTGCAGAAAATCCGTTGAGTTTTTTGAAGGGGGCGCG